TTGTACCATTTCTGAGCTTTCTCAAGATAACTTTGAGAAATTTCAATATTTCGTTTCCACTCTTGAGATAAGCTTTTTTCTTAAGAGACTTGGTACTTTGATTGATATCCACGGTATGAGGGAGTAACGGTTGCTAGCCAGTAGCAATTTTTGAAACACATCTAAGTCCAAAAGTTTCACCCAATTCTTTTGCGAAGTAGAGATAAAGTGCTGAGGATATTCTTCCAATATAGAATTGAAATGCTCTATCTGTCCATCAGATTGTGGATGAAAACTAGAACTCATGCTCAAATTTGAACCAAGGAGTTTGAAAAACTTGGTCCAAAATATGCCAGTAAATCGAAGATCCCGATCATTGACGATGTCCTTGGGCAGTCCCCAGTATTTGACAATATATTTGAAGAAGAGATGAGTTGTCTCTTCTGCTATATATACTTGGGTGCTCCGATGAAAGTAGCGTACTTTGATAGACGGTCTACCACGACGATAACAGTGCTAAAATCTCCAACTTTTAGCAATCCAGTAATGTAGTTCATCAATATACTATCGAATAGTCTCGTTGGGACAGAAAGGGGCTCTAGCAAGCCTGTCTTTTTCTGATGATCCGCCTTATCTTGCTGATAGACAAGATAAGTTTTCACATAAGTTAAAATGTCGTCCTGTATTTGAGGCTAGTTGAGTGCACATTGTAGTAGTGCAGAAGTGCATTCCTCTCTGGGATGCCCTGCCCAAATTGTGTCAGGCACTCTGTGATTGGAGATTTTCTCAAATCTCCACCCTTCGGGACATATAGGCGATCTCTCTTAGTCTTTAGGAGATCTCCATCGAGCCAAAACTGTCGAGATTTTCCCTGTTTGATGAGGTCGACCAAATATCTAGCAGTGGGGTCATTATCCAAAAGTGCCCGAATTTGATCCCTTGTGTTTATAGTGACTTCGCTCCCTGAAAGAGCGGCCATAGAGTAAATGGAGGCCAAGTCAGCCCGGCGACTAAGAGCATCGGCAACATGGTTGCTAGATCCGGGAGACGGTACTCTAGCATGAAATTGAACTCTGAAAGAAGTTCTTGCCAACGAGCCTATTTGCTTGACAGTTTCGGTTGGGACATGAAATGACTCACTACAGTATTATCTGTCTTCACAATAAATGGAGAGCCCAATAAAATAGTGACGCCATCGCCTAAGGCAATGGACCACCGCTAATAACTCATTTTCATGTGTCGAGTAACGATGCTCTACTTGATTTAGCTTTCAGCTCTCATTAACTACAGGATGTCCTTCTTGCATAAGGACTTCACCAAGTGCTAAGTCTGAAGCATCGGTATGTACTTTGAATGGTTTAGCCATATTCGGTAAGGCTAACATCGGGTTCGTCCACATCGATTTCTTCAACTTTTCAAAAACATTTTGGCAGTCCCAATCCTTATCATTCTTCGTCAGTTCGGTAAGTGGTAATGCAATTTCTGAGTACTATTTCACAAATCTAACTCGAGAAGTGACCGCACATTGTGGACATTCTTTGGTGGTTGTCAATCTTTGATGGCTACAACCTTTTTTGTCAATCTTTGAGCGAATGAACATTTAGACGGCTTGGCATACAGTCCATTCTCTCGCAACCGATTGAAAACCTGCCTTACATGTTACACATGTTCCTCTAATGTCTCGATGTAGATTACTATGTCGTCCAAGTACACCACCACAAAATC